GCCTGGGGCGCGGCACCCTGGGCCCCTGGACCCAGCCCGTCCCCGGGCCTCGGCCCCTGCCCCTCCGGCCCGAAACTGGCGGAAAGGAGACCCGGCAGGCAGTCTGTGCAAAGGAGCCGGCTTTATTCACAGCCTCAGTGGGGCAGCAGGGACCGAGAGCTGCGCCTCGTGCTACACTGCTGGGGGCCCCGCAGGGTCGGGGACACATCTGAGCCAGGGTTCACATCCAGTCGGGCCACGCCGAGGTGCAGCTCCACCCCGTGGACAGGTCAAGCGGGACGCCGAGTCTTCCCGGCGGGGCGCGTCACTTCTGCAGCAGGTGCACCAGCAGCCTCCTGTACTGAGGGGCACAGCCGTTGGCCGGGGCGCGGGGGCAGCGGAGCGCATTCTGCCAGCCATGAGGGTGGGGGCCCAGGGGACCAGGCAGGGGCAAGCTCAGCCTCTTCAGCACTTTCTCCCTCCCCCCAAGGCCAGCAGGGTCAGGAAGTCCAGCAGCCCCCTCTGGCCCTGTGCTCAGTCAGGAGTGCAAGGATGTGAGATGCAGGGTGCTGCTCACGTCTGTTTCTGGGGCCGCTGGCCCCAGAGCTCACCGCTGAAGCCCACTCCCCCGGCCCGAGCACTGCTTCCTCTGGGATCCCCCAGTCTGCAGTTCCCAGCCAAGGCCAGCAGCCCCCAGGTGACGCTGGCACCTCCCTGCGGACTGCAGCCCGCCCAGGTGGGGCTGGTGAGCAGGAGGGTCAGGGACGCCAGGTGAGGCTGGGGCGGGACCTTCTCCTGTCCTGCGGAGCACGATGAGCTGGGTACACAGGGGGTGCCCACTGCAAAGGGCTGCCCCGGCACCGCAGGCCGAGAGGGGCATCGCTGGGAGCCCCAGGTGGCGTCCTCTGTGACCAGGCCGCAGGCTAGGGGGCAGGCGACCTGTCTGAGGTCACACCAGTCCTGGGCACTAGGTCGTGGGCTTCACAGACCAGCCCTGGCGGCCTCACACCGCCTCTGCTGCCCAGCCACACCACCAGGAGCAGGGCACCAAGGTGCTGCCTCTGCCAGGCTGCGGACCGAGGCGCCAGCCTCCTCGGAGCTCCCAAAGCCCAGGCGTCAGGGATTTGCATCCAGGAGTGCTTAGGCTCCGTCCCTGACACCCCAAGACTTCTGGCTGTCACGGTTGGGGGGCGCGCTAGTGGATGGAGAGCAGGGGTGCTGCTGAAGGGGCCCTGCCACGAGCCCAGGGTGGCAAGAGTGCCAGGCCGGGAACTGCTGCCGCTGAGGCTGCTGGAGGTGGGGACTGTCTTGGCTGCTGCTGACTCCTCCCCCAGGGTCTTGGCCCCAACTCCCAGCACAAGAGCAAGAGGGTTCGGCAGCACCTGAGCCTGCGGCCAAGTGAGGACAGCTGTGGCCCTGGGACTAAGGGTGGGTGCTGGAGGGTGTGGCCCCCAATGGGCGGCAGTGGGAGTCCCTCCCTGAGCATCTGGCTCCCCGGGGCCCATATCCGCCATACCCTGCCCTCAAAGCTGGGCCCCGGGGCCGCTGCACCCCAAGTCTGGCTCACCGGGGGATGAGGTGCTGGGCGGCCGGGGCTCCTGCCCAGCGCTTCCTTCAGCAGGAGGATCCTGAGCAGATCCCGACTCAGCTGCAGCTGCTGGCCCCTCAGAGCGGGCTGGGGCTCGGCCCCCAGTGGGAGCAGGTTGGGACGCTCCAGACTCTTCTTGCCCATGAAGTGACCTAGAAAGGAGGTGGCAAGGCGCAGGAGCCGGGGAGCGGGCAGCAGGGATCCTCCAGGCTGGGAGGCATCCCCATGTCGCTTGGGCGCCGCAGTTAAGACCTTTCTTTCCTACAGGTGCCAGAGACCCCTGGGTGGCAACAAAGGCCCGCGGCCTCCCGGTGGGGGCAGGGAGGAGGGTGCAAGGCCGGGCTGGGAGGGCAGAAGCCCGGCAGGGCTCTGGGGGGTGGCAGCGCTCAGCGGGCTCCCCTGGAGAGGGGCCCGGCTCTGCCTGAAGCTGCTGCGTGGTCCCGGAGTCCTTCTCCCCATCCCCAGCTCAGGGGGGTCCCGCCCCGCCGCGGGCTGCGGGTCTACGCGGGACTCACCGGTGGCCCAGAGGCTGCCCCGAGAGTGCACGCGGGTCCTGCCGGCTGCGCTGCGGGGCTCCTGGAGATCCCAGGCAGGGGAGGCAGCGCCGGAGGCCAGCAGAGTGAGGAGCAGGAGGCGGCCCAGCAGCGGGGCGCGCCCCGCCCCCCGGGTCATGCCTGCAGCGCCCAGGCGCCCAGGCATCCGCCCCGTCCGCGTCCCCTGGCGTCTGGGCTGCGGGCTCCCGCTCCGGGCTCCCGCTCCGCTCTGGCAGCAGCTGGGTCTCCGGGCAGCTCCCGGCTTTTAAGCCACGCCCGGGGGCGGGGCCTCCCCGGAGCCCGCCCGCCGCCCAGGGACCCTCGCGCCTGGAGTCCCCCTCCCCCACGAACCGGGCCGGACAGCCTGTGGGTCCCTCCTCTCCCTCCCCAAGGCTAAGGGGCAAGGGCGCCTCCATGCCCCCCTCTCTGCTCTGGGCTGGTGGCCGGGGCGGGTGATGGGCTAGGAAGCGCCCCCAACCCCTCACCCTGGCCTCTGGGCAGGGAGGCGCAGCCCCCCTCGGCCGGCCTGCTCCCCACCCCCAGCCACCCAGAAGTTCTTGGAAAGAACTTTTGAGCCACCAGAGAGCGGCACCAGGGCCCAGGGCAGAAGCCACAGGCGCGGCGGGTCAGGCCCAGAGGTCTGGGGCCCTTGAGGAGCCCACCCCGGAGTGGGGGCGGACCCCATCGCCTGGCTCAGCCCCTGAGGCCCTGGAAGGGGGCCTCGAGGCCGGCACTGCTGCCCAGTCCAGCCCCAGGGACAGGGCCCGCCCGCCCACCCGCGGCAGGTCCAACTCCCCACCTGGCAGGCGCAGCGCTCTGCACTTTGCGGTAACCACCTCCCGTGCCACCCCCCACCCGCCTGTCTGCTCGCCCCTCACACACCCCTCTTCATTCATGCGCATCACAGGGAGCCCGCAGGACCCCAACGAAGCTCCTTTCTGCTGGGAGATGGCGAGCGGAGCCAGATGCCACCTGGGGCCAGCCTTGGGCCTGCAGGGCCCCAGTCTGGCTCCGCGCGGCACAGGGGAGATGCTGCCCCCTAAAGCACACCCCACCTTGCCATCGCACATGAGCATCAAGTTGTTTTCACTACTCCGGGGGAGGAAGCGGTCAACCCTCTTCTGCAGGCCTGGACCTTGGTTCTGCGGAGAGCCGTGTGCTGGGCTCCAGTGCGGCCAGGACCTGGGAAGGCAGAGGGCAGCAGCCGCCCGCCAGGGCCAGGCCCCACGTGCACTCTGAAGCACGGGGAGTGCAGAGGCCTCCTCCCTGCCATGACCAGAAGTGCGACGGACGGGGGCACCGCGGGGCCAGGGGCGCTCGTTCCTCACCGTCCCTGCAGCATCCTCCAGGGCCACCTGTAGGGGACTTGCGGGACAGACACCCCAGAAGGCGGGTACGGGTCGATCCTCCTGTAGCCACGGAGCAGGGAGCCTGTGCGAGCCTGGCTGGCCCGACGCGGGCAGAGCGCGGCTGGCGGGCAGGGCTGGTCTCCGCGGGGGCCCTGAGGACGCCGCTTGACTCGAACGCACCTTCTCTGCAGCAGCCCTGACCGTCGGGGGCTATCAGGGTCACTGCGCAGCCCCAGGAGGGGCCTGGGGCTCCGCCGCCAGCCTGTCTATTGCCTTACACCCCGCCCCAAAAAACGGGGCGACTAGCCCCCAACTCTGCCCTGAGCAGCACCGCTTTCCCAGCAGACCGCCCCAGCCCGTCAGCTCCTTTCTCCCGTCAAGTAGCCGTGTCTGCAGACGCCGCTACAAACTCCTCCGGCCCAGGCAGGCGGCAAGTCTGGGCCCCCCAGAGCCCTGCCAGGGACGAGGGGCGAGGAGGGCCTGTCTCAGGACTCGGGGCGCCCGACACACTCGGGACGACGCCCCGGGGCAGAGACCAGCCCTCGGCACTCAGCCGCCTTCCCAGCTCCTGGGCATCTCGCCGTCGGCCTGCGCCCGCACGAGGGCCAAGCCCCAGCCAGGCCCGGACGCCCGGACACACACCCCAGGGTGACGACAGTGTGTTCCATCCGGGGCTCTCGGGGCGGCCGGTCCCAGGAAGGGTGACAAGCGCCAATTCGCAGGCCGAGAAGGAGTGGACGGGGCAGCCGCAGCCGCGCCCGCGCCCCAGGGGCTCCAGAGGGCCGCGCTGCTGAAACGGAACCGCGGAGGGCAGTTTCCACCGGAACCCCGAGGCCAAGCGGCTGTGCTCACGCGGCCTCCCTGACGGCCACACTGCTCCGCCGGCCGATCCCGGTACCCGGGCCACCTGCGCCGTGGCCGGCGGGCTCCCGTCTCCCCCCAAAGCCACAGCCCGGCAGACCGAGCTGCAGGCAGCTGTCTACAGGGCAGCGGCCGCCCACCGCAGCGCGGCCACACGGAAACCCGCTGCTGCGACGGCTGCTTGGTAAGAGGGAGGCGGCGCGCCTCCCTGCCCCCACTGCCCTGGCTGCCTCCCCGAGCACCCGAGCCGGCCCGGGGCTGTGCTCGGAGCCGCGGACGCAGCAGCTGGGCGGCCTGCACCCCCACCCGCTCCGGAAACTGAGGCAGACGGGCTGAGGCCTCTGGCCCTCGGGACGCAGGGCCACGAGTCCAGCGGCAGGCCCCTGGACACCAGGGGCCGAGAGCTGCCGCTCTGGGGCTGCGCGGACGCCAGCTGTGGTGGGCACCGGCGGCCGCGGGGAGGGCAGGCTTCGGGCGCGTCCGGCCACACAAACCAGGTGAGGGTCAACAGGCAAAGTCCTTTATTTAAACTTCTGAAAGGGAAGATCCGCGCCGCCGTGGTGTGGCTCCGGCGCAGGGCTCGAGGCACTTGAGAGGAGCCTGGCTTCAAGATACAAACACTGGGGCTTTGGCTCAGCCTTTTCATATAAAAAATTCACTGATGTACAAAAACGCGCACGTTGACCACGACAACGTATGAAATCCCGCGACCGGAAGTCCCCGCGGCGGCGAGCGGGCGGGCCGGAAAGCAGCGCCGACGCCGAGGCCTGGCACCCCCCGGACGGCCGCCGCCTACTCACGGTGCACCAGCACGAACAGGCCCAGCAGGAAGAGGACTGCATACTGCGGGCGACAGGCCGCGGTCAGGGGGCCGCAGGGCGCCGCCCCCAGCGCCGCGGGCAGGGCCGCGCTTACCTTGAACTTGGGGTAGTCGTTCATGAGGATCGTCACTATCCCGATGTAAGGGACGAACCTGCGCGAGACGGGGTGCCCGTGACAGCTGCCCCCCGCCGCCGGCCGGAGCGCCCAGTCCGGCCCCCGCGGCCGCAGCCCCGGCACCCCCACCGCAGGCGCAGCCCGGCCTCCACTCCACCTGCGACGGCCAGAACCCCGCCTGGAGCGGAGGGCACAGCGGGGTGCTCACACCGCGCGGCCGGCAGGCTGCGTCCAGCGCACGAGCGCCGGCCAGGCCTGCTACTTACCCCCTGGCTCTCCCCACCACGTCCTTTTTCTCTAGCCAGTGCTGTCCTTGCTTATAGAGGCCTCGGTCATCCACGGCGTTGTTATCCCCTTTGGTCAGAAACTTGATGTGTCCGTTTTGCCTTCAAAGAGTAAGGAGCCGGTCAGCAGGCCCCTCCGCGCCGGCCCCGTCGCGGTCTCGCGAGCGCAAGCCGGCGGGACCATGGCGGTCGCCGCGCCCCCGGGAGAGGGGCGTTGGGGCCAGCGCCGGGGCGGACGCCCTCGCCGCTGCGCGGAACCCCCGCGGCCCCGGACATGGCCGCGGAGCAGATTACTGGCGAACTGCGGGATGACCCCAGGCCGGAAGGAACAGGGACACGTGCAGGACGAGACTGCAGGCATCACCGAGCCAAGCGGGGGAGGAGCTGCTCGCAACCTGACTCCAGCAAAGTGCCAGAACAAGTCACGACAGAGACGAGAAACCGAAGAGGCCAAGACATCACTGTCCGCCTCGTGTGCTGGCCCAAGCGTCCCGACCAGAGGGCCTGAAAGGCGTCCAGGACTCAGCGGCCAGCACTGCGGGCGGGGGAGGACTGCGGGGGGCGGGTGCCCGGTCCCCTCCGTCAGCGCACTGGGAGGTCTCGGCCTCTGAGACACACGCAGACACAGAGGCCGTCAAGCCAGAGCCCCGGCCGGGCCCGCGCCAGCCGGCCTCGCCCGCTGGGGCCTCACTCAGCCGCTGGCCCTGGCCCAGCAGGGGCCCCTCTGCGCGGGTTCAGAGAACGGCATCTTCCTACTGGCCAGAAAGCTGCTGGACTCCACCAGAGAAGCCTGATGTTTCTGGTCATTCAGAACTAAAAACAGACACCGTGTCCCAGAGCTGACAGTTCCTCAGCAGCGCCAGGGGCCTCCGGGTGGCGACCTCCGGAGGGGAGACGGCCTGCAGCGCCGCAATGACCACCCCCACCCGGGCCCAGGGCGGGGCGGGCTGACGCGACACCAGCTCTGCTGAGGAGACTAAATTGGGAGGTGCAAAGGCAACAGGCCCGTTAAAAATGAGGTTCCTGTTAGAAAAATGCAAATATATACAGAGAAAATTCATCTCACTGGCAACTCCGTAGGCGACAGAGTCTGAGAACCTCGGAGGGGGCGAGGGGGCGGGCCGGGCCACCCAGAGGCGGGAGGGGCAGGCGGACCGCCCGGCGCTGGACAGGGCCGGCCATGAGGCCGCCCCGCCTGTGAAGGGGGGCCGAGCGCTGCCGTCCCCAGCGCTCCTGGCTCGTCCGGAGAAGGCGGAAGACAGGACGCAGCGGGGGGAGAGGGCTCAGGTGAGCCTTCTCGCGTCTGTGGGCACGAACACCCCGCGCCTCCCGCAGCGTGAGGAGTGGAGAATTACATTGACTAAATTTAATTCTCTGAGATTTTAAACTGCGGCACTGGCCTCCCTGGTGGGGAGGGGTGAGTCTCCGCTGAGGGCGCCCGGCGGGGGATGACCCCAGGGCGCAGCAGGGCGCCCCGATGCAGGGGACCCGCCCGCCCCGCCCCGCTCTGGCTCTGGGCGTCCTCTCGCCCTCCCCACGCCTCCAGCGCACCTCGGCTCTTCCAGCATCCTGAACGTGCAGCCCTGTCTCTGCGGTGACCAGGGAGCGCGGGGGAGGCGCCTTCCTGGGCTGGTCGGAGGGCGGCAGGGCCGGCCCGGCACCCGGAGGCAGGTGCCTCGCCCGCCCGAGTGTTCACGAGCCGACCGTGTGGCCAGAGGCTGAGCGGAGCCCAGCGGGGCGGCGTGGCGAGAGGCCGTAGGTGCGCCAGACTGGAGATCAGCAGCTCGTGGGCGTCTCTAGGGTCAGGGGTGGCCTGATTTTCTGTCACTTCCAGTTCACACACTGCAGTGAGGACTCAGCGTGAAGGAGGAAGGCTCACAGGGCAGAGGCTGGGGGTGCGGAGACAGAAGCTTACAGACTTAGAGAAACACACACCGCAGGAAGTAAGTGGACGAGGAGGGGGGGGGCCCTCCCTGGGGCGCAGGGCTACGCCTCAGCACTGTGAGAGAAGCTGTCGCAGCCACGGCAGCCAGCGCGACCCTGGCCGGGAGTGACCCACACGGCGCAGCGGACTCCTCTGGACTGGGCCACTGTGTGTGTTTTGTTTTTTTTTTTTTAAGATTTATTTATTTATTCATACAGAACCGGGGTACAGGCCAGAGATGCGGAGGGTGAGAGGATTCACCAGGGACAGAGCGGGGAGCAGAACAGGCAGATCGACGAAGCACACTGCTGAGGGGAGCAGCGGGCGGGTCAGGAGAGGTCTGCCGCGCCCTGGGGTCACCTCCGGGGCAGGCGGGGATCGAACTCATGCGGAAGCGGCTTTGACTTCTTAGTGCTGTGCTGTGACCCGCTGCGCCACCCGGGAGGGCCCCACTGTGTGTTTTGATCCATCCGCCTGTCCTGCTCCCCACTCTGTCTCTGGTGATTCCTCTCACCCCCACACCTCTGGCCTGTACCCCCGTTCTGTACGCATGAAAGAACAAATCATTTTTTTAAAAAGGAGACATAAGAGGCCAGTGATCACATCCTACCTCTGTTCTTCCCAGAGTTCAGAAATTCACTTATCTTTTAGGATTTCTAAAAATGTGTTTATGCTCACAAGAGCTGGGGTGTAGACTGGAGGTGAGGGGCTGAGAGGACTCCCCAGAGCAGAGGGGGCAGTGGGGAGACAGGAGGGCCTGCCGCGCCCTGTGGTCACTCCCTGGCCGGGTGGGTGACAGCCTGACAGCGCCGGGACGTACCCCTGTGCCGGCAGGGCCGGGAGGCCAGGCGTTTCCTTCAGACACATTCAGAGGAGACACATCTACGCCGTCACACGGCTCCACGCGAGGACAGCGCCAACGTGCCACGCGATGCCGACAACCAGGCGTGTCAGCGTCACCCCGCCCCGCCCGCGCAACTGGAAACTTGGGTCTGCCTGGCAAAGAAGCCTCCAAGGGGAGGCACGAAGAGCCTAAGATAACCCACCACAGACACCGACCGGCTCCCTGGGGTGACGCGCCCCACAGCACGGAGCGCAGCACACAGCCGCAGCACAGGAGGCCCGGCCGAGCCCCCGGTGACAGGGACCGAGACCATCAGGGTCTGTGTCAGGGCTTTTCGAATGGCAGGCGTCTGAAGGGACACGGCTGCTGATGGACCCGCCTGAGACATGCGAGCGGCTTTCCCACAAAGCCTCGGGGACGTCCGCCTCAAAGCCCACACAGACAAAGCGAGACCTCGAGCCCTCCCGGCAGCGCTGGGTTTAACCTGACTCCCACGGAGCCCCCAGGGAAGCGGGTGCAGACAGTGCAAGCTGAGGCCCTGGGGACCCCCGGCTGAGGAACCCAATACGTGTTCACAAAATCCAGACAACAGTAACCACTTCGAGCTAGAAATTACAATCGTGAAGTCAGAAAAACAAGCGGGGTAAGATCCTCACGTGACCGCAGAGACCCGAAGCCCAGCCGCGAGAGCCCCGGAGCCCGCTGAAAAGCAGCAGGGACGGTCCCTCCGTGAGGGGCCAGCGCGGCCTGCACAGGGCTGAGCAACACGGCGGTTACTCGGTCTCCCCCGCTTCAGCCCGTGTTCTCCAGACACCCCCTTGCCCTCCTGCTCCCTTTCCTTCCGCGCTGGAAGGCCCCTATCCGGAGCAGCGCAGGTATGGAGGGGCAGGTGAGAACTGTGACCTCCTGACACCTCCATAAGCCTTTGCACCGGTGGGGAAACCGAGGCCGGGAGGTGCAGGAGCTGCTCCGTGCCACCCGATGGCATCCTGGGATTTACAGGGTCTTTTCCAATTCTAAGATGCAAATTTAAAACAGTGTGTTAGGTCTCAGGAATTCTCCCTGGAATTTGAAAAATCTGACACATTTATTCTTACTTGAAATGTCTGTTCGACTGTCTTAAACGAGTATTTTGTTCTGAAGACGAGGGCTACTTTCTGTCAGACAGTTCCATTTAGGGTCAGCCTTTCTGCCATGTTTTTGGGGCGCTGTCCACAAGGCCGCTGAGAACCCTCCAGGAAGTGAACTAGTAACCAAGTCAGCGTTCCTGCAGCCCAGCCTCGGACAGGCATAAAAGTGGGTCAGAAGACTGAGGCGCCCTCCCCTCAAAGGAGACGCCACCAACATTAAAACAGAGAAGACAGTTTGCACGTACTTTTCGTGAATCTTCAGGACCCGGTGCACTATAGGGATCTCCCTCCCTTCTATCCTGAAAACAACGATCTCTCCCACTCGTATGGGATCTTCCACTCGGTTGGTCAGGAAGAGGAGGTCTCCTCTGTGAAACGCAGGCTCCATGCTGCCACTGGGGAGGAGAGGGGAGTGACAGAGGAAGAAAACCGGAGGTTAGATTCACTTTGCAGATGAGCCAGCCAAGCCCAAGAGCACCCCGTCGGGAGGCGACAAATGTATCAGCATAAAGGGGGGCAGTGCTCAGAGCGCGTCAGGCCTCCTCGGTTCCCAGCCTTCACTAACTGCTCCGATTCTGAGCAGCGCCCTTCGGAAGTGCTCCATCTTGAAAGGGCAACGCTGCTAATTCCTTAACCTTTTAAAATTTCAAGTGACAAACAGAATATTAAAGAGTGAACTTTAAAAATGCCCTATTCTCGCTTCATCTGCAAGCGTTAACCACGTTCAAATATTCAGACGAGAACCGGACCCGCTCCTGCCCTTTGCCGAGATGCGGAGTGAGATGACCTATGCTTCCAGGCTGTGGAGGAGAACATCTCCCCACGTCAGAAAGGCCAGAGGAGCGGGGGGTGAGAGGACTCCCCAGAGACAGAGCGGGGAGCAGGACAGGCGGGTCAGCGGGGAGACAGGAGGGGTCCACTGGGCCCTGTGGGTGCCCCCAGGCGGGGATCAGACTCAGGCCACAGGGGTGCCGAAAGCTTCAGAGCGCGGACTTAACCCGGGCCACCAGGCGGCCTGTTTATTTAGTTTTAAAAGAAAAACAAGGAAAATCAAGGGCAAGAGCAGAGTTTTGGGGGTATTGTGGCCCAAGAGGTTCAGAAGTGAGGAAAGGACGCACGTGGTGTGGTGTGTGAGGACGAACTTCTGGGGTGTCCTCTCGCCCGTCGACCCAACGCAAGCTGCCCAGCGCCTGCGGCGTCCGCACTGACCGGCGCGGCCCTTCTGTCTGACGCGCCCGCCCGCCGTGTCTAAGGAAACCTGAGCTCCGGGCCCAGTGGCGGGGC